AAATTGGTGGGCCCTATGGTTTCTAGTACTCAACTCTCTGCCTGTTTATTGGGAAAGCAGCAATATACAACATATAAATGAATGAGTGTAGCTGTGTTCAATAAAGATTTTATTTACAAAAAGAGATTGCAATTCAAATTTGACCTGTGGGTCATAGTTCACTGAGACCTCTTCAAATGGGTCATCAAACGCTTTTTCCAGACCTTGTGAAAAAGTTAATTACCACAGTATTTTCCTTAGATGACCCATTAGTAAATTTATTTTACTGCCATTTTAACTAGGCCAAGGTTAAATATTTATTCAGCTATTCTCTTTTCAAGTTAAAGAGATCTAGTGGCTCAACTTTGAGAGCTGCCCTTTTAAATCTATTTCTGTCTGGAGATTGATGCTCATTGATTAAACTGTTCCTGAGCTGGCTTAAATTTGCAAATGTACAATTGAAGTCCAAACAACAGGTGTGATAGTTCGTGACCTCTGATAAGCAGATGATAAAGTGAGATTAGATAAGAAATGCAAGAAATTTGTTAGGGGAAATGCCTGTAAGGGAAAATTTGGAAGAAGATGGAGTCATCCAGGAGCACCTTCTGATTAACATGCAGGTCTAATCACAGTAAAGAAGAAAGGGAAGGAGAAGAGACTGAGTGAAAGCCATAGCCTCCAGGGCAGTTGTGAGAAAGTTCAGCAAGGCTAAAGGAAGGCCTTAGCCAAAGCCATGTGTCAAGGGAGTCCAAGAGTTCCCAGGAGCAGGCTAAGTATCAACTACCACAATGTGTCACTGGGTAGTAGTGGCCACTGGGAATTGTACCTTCTGTACCAGCACAGAGATGGATTTCAGAACACAGCAGCTGGGGCCTCTGGTCAATGAAACCCCCACAGTAGGAGATGGGAAAGGTGCATTTTTATGGCTATACAAACAGGCTCCACAGCTAATTTTCTTTGATGGAAAATTAAGAAAGAAATGGGTTAGACAAGTTTTGCTACATTAATTCAAGTAAGCTCACTAAGGATAAGGACTGTTTTACTTATTATTGTATTCTGTACCGTATCTATTAAAATCTCTTTCTTTCATCAAGGAGATACCCAAAATATACCTTTTAAAATTTGGTTAACTTCCATTCCTAAACCTATGGTTCCTATATAAATAATTATAAATTAGAGGAAACTTAGCCTAAATGTCTAAGGAACTGCCCCATACTTATACCACCAGCAAGTGGCAAGGACAACATCAGATTCCAGAATCACATGACATGATTTGTAGGCACATGGTAAAATGGCAATAGTTGGTGGCATCAGCGCAACAGTAACAGCAGCAATGTCTTTATCACTTACAGAAAACATTCAGTTGCTGCTACTAGGTTCACATTACTTTGGTTTTATCTGATTCCCATCTTACCCTCTGCTTGGATCCATTTAGTGTCTATAAGAGAGAAGTGAATCCTGAGAAGGGTAGAATAGAGAGAGAGCCAATAAAGAAAACATGTAGACTCTGATGTCAGACTTCCTGTGGTCAAATCTTTGCTCTAACATTTACTACTAGCTGTTTCACCCAGGATAAGTTGCTTCTCCTCTCTAGATTTCACCTTTAAATGAGGGATGGTAATAGTACCTACCCCATACAATTTTTATTAAATTACTAAATAGCTAATATATATGAAATTGCTTAGAACAAAGCTGAACACCAATTATTAGAGGTGAATCTTAATGGAGCTTGTTTATTAGGACATCTCTAATCAAAATTGGCCTGAGGTAGAAGCCAGAAATGGACTTAGGTGACAAGAAGGGACACAATGATGTCTGAAACTAACTCCCTCATAGGGCATATTCAGAAAGAAGACCTGGAAGTAAAGGAGATGTTGGCACTAACTGATAATAGAGTGAGAAAAACCCTGCAAGCAAAACTAAGGAGGAAGGTACAGGTATCAGGCGCTGACACCTGATTCTCACCACAGTGGCTGGCAGGGTTATTTAGATGTGCTCATTATCTGTTTCTTATCTGATTATGATGCTTACTGAACACACAAGTATTTTTAAAAGCATTACAGTAAAACCATGTTTTGGCTACCTTTTGTAATGTTCAAGTCTAGAAGGTCTAGAGAGAGGACCAGAAAGCACTAAGCTACTTATCTTTATAACATCAACCTTCATGTAAAAGTTAGAACACAAAAATATATCACAAAACCATTGTTATAAGTTCTCAAACTGGGATCCCTGGGTGGCACAGCGGTTTGGCGCCTGCCTTTGGCCCAGGGCGCAATCCTGGAAACCCGGGATTGAATTCCACGTCGGGCTCCCGGTGCATGGAGCCTGCTTCTCCCTCTGCCTATGTCTCTGCCTCTCTCTGTGTGTGTGTGTGACTATCATAAAGATTAAAAAAAAATTTTTTTTAAAGTTCCCAAACTAACCGAGAACTGGAAATCAGTTTATGAAAAGCAACACATACCTATGTGAAACAAAATAGGATTAATATGGGAGCAAAAACCTAGGAGCATACCTGCATAGCACAAAAGGATCTACTGGTCCTTCTTTATAAAAAAATACTTAATATAAAAGAATAGAGTGCATTTAGATTAAGGAATAATTTAGGATTCATTTTGTAAATTTGCCCCTGCATCCGTACTTGAGTGCCCCTAAATGGTCATGTCTAAGTAGAACATGTTCTGTTGCAAAGGGTCAACTAAATAACACATGTATATACATTTGCATGAAAATGTTTTGGAGCATGACAGCTATACAGATAGCACAGAAAATTGGAAGACATTAAAATGAAGATGAACACTCAGGATTTACTTCTTAATGTAGGACGTAGTTGGTCTGAGCCATTGTCTTCCTTCTCTACCTCCCCCTCATGGCAAGTTCTGACAGATTTGTGATTTTTAAGATATTTTCCAGGTTTTAGCTGTCTTAAAATTTTTCTTGGTGCATCTAATAAATTTTTATTGGCCTCTAATGACTATTTAGTTTTAGCTGTTCCCCACAGAGAGGTTTTTTTTTTCCTATGAATTTTCTGTACTCTTTTCCATAAAGTACCTATCTCTTAGCCTTAAGGATCCAGAATAAGTTCAAGCTATCTCTTAAAATCTTACATAGCATGCATCTTAACAGTTTGTGGAGATTAATATGCTGATGGTGGGATTCCCCCCATTCCAACATACACAACTCCAATCCCTAGGTGGAAAGAGAACAAAAACAACTCAAAATGATTTGGGGGATAGAAAAAATAAACCCCTGTCATGTAGGTCATTCAATCTTGTAACATAAATGAATAAAAATTTCAAATGTTCACTCAAGTATGGTAGTACTAACTGTGTTGCTTCAGTTTTTGAATATGTAGAATGCTTTGTAGAAGATGGTGAGAAATTCTGTTCTTATAAAAATAAGAGAAAATAAACTCCTATCATTTATACTACCAGAAGTCCATGTTTGCAGATCACCAAGCTTGCTTCGTATGATGATAAATGATTAAATAAAGTCTCAAACTTTTTAGTTATAATACGTACTCTTCCCTTTCTCATTGCCTATGGTTATCTGATAATAGGGTGCAGCGAAAAATATTTTCCAAAGTCCATGTGATCCACTTCTCCGGTATAATCCACATTTAAATTATTATTTAATTAGTCTAATTATTAGCATTACTAATCAAAAGGGATAGAAAAGCAAAAAATTGAGAATGCCCCCACCTGAGTGCCAGATTCAGTTCACTAGCTATACCAATATAAGAAAACTGTTCAAACTTTTCTGACCTCTGTCAGCTTTAAATGGTTTTCATAAAAATCATTTGTACCTGGGAAAGTTGCTTGTATAATATATAATTCTGTATCCATATGAACTGTAATTGTTATTTATATTTAAATATCATTATATGATCTATGACACCATTAACAGAAATGAAATAAAATAGAAATAGGGTTGCATCTTGTTTTTGAATTATATTATTAAAATTAATTTAAACAAGGAGGCCATTAGACTGAGGTGGCTCTAATGCCTTGGTAACCTACATAAGTAAACCGAAGCCTAAAGCAAAGTCAGTACATTTAAATCCAAGCAAATAAAAGTTAAAAACAATCAATTACAGCCAACCAGGATCCCTCAAATAAGGCAACTGGCTACAGTCAGTCAAATCATTTCTTTGCTTTGCTTCTGTATCTTCTCTATTCAAGCCTTTCCCTTAGCTCCCACAGTAGAGTTCTCCTGACCACTTTGAGCTAAGTGCTGCTCATTATGAGTTGATGGATGCCCAAATAAAGTCTTGAAAATTCTGATGTGCCTCAGTTTGTCTTTTAACAATATATTTCAGCTTTGCTTCCAGAAATCAATTACACTGAGATACACTTATCCTCTGGGTTTCACAATGGTAAATTAAATAACCATTTCCATAGTGAAAAGGGGACCGAGAGATCATCTTCATATCATCAAAAATATTTCCACTAAACTGTAACGTTAGGTTTATGACTGATGATTAAAGGACATTTTACTAATATGTACTGAGATAAGTATGACTGTAAAATGAGTTTTAATTGACTTCTCATAAAATCATGAATAAAAGAATCTACACATTGTTGATAAGTTCATTTGGATTTCCCTGCTTGTCTCCTGAATGCACCAAACCTCTGCAGGTGCCGTTGTGGCTAGTGTCTTACTAGAGATGAAACAGGACAGGTCAAAAATGTACATCAAAGGCACCAATTTGACCCAAATGGCTATTCTGTTTGACACATATCATATCACAGTTGGTAGCTGCGGTGTTTGTTTGAATTTCAATGCTGATTAAGCCCTTTGCCAGTCCTGTTTGTGCAAACATGCAAAGCTAAATATACCAATCCTCGTTAAATAAAAGAAACATGCATAGCACGTCAAGCAGTCATTGTTGTTATTACCAATAAACAAAAATGTATATGTTTCCCCAATCTCAGTGATGAAATGTGCTCTGTGTTTATGGAGAAAGCTAAAGGGGAAAAAATCTTCTCAGTTAAGAGTTTGTCGACTCTGGCCCAGGGGTGTACCTGGGTCTCAACATCTGTCAGCTTTCTGGTCTGCTCTGCAGTCTGAGAGAGGAGGCTGGTTCCTATCTCGAGCATGGTGGCCGTGTGGTTCTGAACTGCATTCTGCTGTATCTGGGCCATCTCCGACTTCATATTTTCCACAATGTAATTCTCAATCTGCAGGAGATAAAGGACAACACATACTACATTATAAGCAAAGTCTCTCAGTTGGAGCATGTAATATTTACAATGACAAAACAAGACACAGCTGGCAAATTAGCCATCTGGCAGGGAACCTCTGCATTTCTGGGAGTTGGGAAAATGGGAGCAGAGCACACAGGAACCTAGTGGCTAACAAACTCCTAATATACCGATACATAGATATAATCATGACAATGATAATGAAAATTTGTACGTGGATAGTGCTTTCATGTTTTCTACAACTCCTTCAACCCTCACAGCAAAGATGTGAGTGAGGCACGGATGGCCTCATTGTTTTTTATGGGGTTTTTTGTTTGTTTGTTTTATTTGTAGCTGAGGAAACAGAATTAGACAAAGGTCAATTGATGAGCCCAAGGTCACCCAGCAAGAATGCAGCAGTGTTTGCACGATATTTAAATCAGTCTTGGTTCTCTGGTCTATTCCTTATACCATACTGATCAGTCATCTTTGAGAGAAATTCGGCTTCCTGCTTTCATTTCTGTAATGAAAAGTAAAAGACCATGCTAGGTTAGGGGAATTACACAAGCAGTGGGAGGAGGGCAGATGCCCAAAACACAGCTTTTAAGGGAATGGTAAAGTGTAGGCAACAATATACTAAATGGGCTGCAGAGCCACAGAGCCAGCTAAAACCATTCTCTGTGCTCCTTGGAAAGCTAAAAAAAAAAAAAAAAAAAAAAAAAAAAAAAGGCACTGGGAAAGTATAACCCATATTGCAGCATTTACCCTCCTCACCTTGGGTAACATTTAGTCCTCTATGGTGCCATCTTAGAGAATACTATGGTTGTAAAATAAATTGTTCCATGGGGGCCTGGAAGAATTATTAAGTGACTTACTGGGAGGGAGGCTGCTAGACACCAGAGAGAATAAAGTTGAGTATAAGCACTGTTAGAAAAATATAGAAGAAGCCTACACCTTCCTGTCAGTGCACTCAATCCACCATCCTCCCCGCCCCCACATACACACACACTGTGTGGTGACTACATTTTATTACCCAATTACACATATATGGGGAAATTGCATCCCAGAGAAGTCAGGTCCAAGGCCACACACCACAAAAACAGCCAGACTTGGATTTCAATACTGAAGTCCTTAACTTTCATACCAACACTCTTAATCACTTGATAGCTCTGCCAAGTTGTGCTTCACAAACCGGGTTCCAAATCATTAACAGCTACGTGATTTTTACTGATTTAGTGAACCATAATAGATCCACTATTTTATAATCCATAGAAACATTATTGTCATGTAATAAATATAATCTAAAACTAAATTCCCCTTTGTGAAAGTTTGGCAACTCACTTTCTAACACCATCTTTTGCTTATTTCTATTTATCAAACATAAATCTGCCCCAAGTGAAAGAAAATGAAAGGTCAGAATCAAACTCATATTGTTATTAATAAATTCTGACTATGTTCTGGTTAATATAAAGTAACTCTCCTTCATTCTTTATGTTTAGATTAGAAGTAGAGGGGGGAAAATCAACCTACAAACATTTATTAGAAAACAAATACAACATAGGTTAGAATAAATATCTATAAATTATCTTGACAAAATGTAAGATCTCTAACTTGGGTTTATTCCAATTGCGCTAGAATATTCAAACAATGATGGAAAGGTAGTGGAAACAAGGATACGTCAAAGCATCAGATATCTGTTGTTTTGGATTCTGTATCATGTTTCCTTTCTCCTCATAACATCTTTTAACTTTTTTGGGGGGAAATTGTGAAAGGGTATATTATCAAAAACGACAGGTAAAACTCCATCATGGTGTTAATACCCACCATATATAGCTGGCATTTATCAATTGTCTATGTGGTAGGCTCTGAACTAAGAGCTTTCTCTTTATAACAGCACTTAAACCTTACAACAAGTTTACGTGGTAGGTATTGTTACAGCTGTTTTATAAATGAGACTACTGAGGCCTAGAAAATCCACAGCAATGTACCCAAAAGAAACAATAACTCAACTCCCAATGCCAAAATCCATGTTCTCAATCTCTAACCTATTCAGCTTAGCACTATTTAATTACTCTGTGCATTTTATTGTGTAGCTCCTCAACCTTGTATATTTATCAAAATTACATGAGAAGCATTTTTAAAATGCAGATGAATGTATGACATACCAGAGCTTCGAATCAGAATTTTCAAGGGTATATACTAAACAACTATATATCTTAAAATCTTCCCAATGTAATTCTGACTTAGGCAAAGACCAGTGCTTCTCAAAGTGTGGTCCACAGAATAACTGTGTATATGAGACCTGTTTGTGAACAGTCTGTCATGAAATGAAGAAACTGTGCCAGACTTCAAATTATCTATGTCGCAAAGCACACTGTTTCTACAAATATAGTATGTACATGTGTGGGTTTGTATCTGTGTATAGGAGTAAGACATTCTCAATGAAGAAAATGATGCTCTAAAGCTTTTGCTCATATTCTGAAGTTTCTTACCTTGTTTGCAAAATGAAAACAATTTCCTTGAATAGCAGTGATTTAGATCACCAAACTTATTCAGTGTCACACACCGTGCTTATCAAGAAAGTTCAAATAACAACTTGGTTTCCTACGTAGATTTCTCTACTGAGAGACAATTCACTGATCAGTGAGCTCCAATAAAGATCTGCCTGATAATTATACATCAATTTATTTCTTTCTTCCCCCACCCCCCCCTTAGGTAGGCTCTATGCCCAATGTGGGCTTGAACTAATAATCCTGAAATCAAGAGTTGCATGTTCTACCAACTGAGCTAGCTAGGCATCCCTATATACCAATTTCTTATGCAGTTGGTTAGTGGGAGTTATTTCCCAGAGCTTAACTTGCTCTGGGTGTAATATAATCATGTGTTTCATTCTCCATAAAGGAGGACACCATCTGGGACAGGGTTAGTACATCAAGGTTGAGCTACTTCTTTGTGATCCTATCTTTGTTAGCTTCTATCTATTCTGTATTAATGCTTTTTTTTTTTTTTTGTGAAGTTAACACCAGCAAAGTAAAAGAGCTGCTTTATGTAGGCATTCATCCCAATTCTGCTGACCTGTTGTAGCAATATAGTAGGTCTCTTACCTATACTAAAATTCTTATTTGGGCTGCCGTGATTAGTAACATGTCTATAACTCTAGTTAATTATTTTTTAATCAAGTGGGGCTGCTCTCTCTTGGAGTAACTCCCTTTTAATGCAAAAGATAATGGCACATTTAAGAACCAAAAACCAGATGTAGTTGATTTAAAAGGCTGACGAGGGAGGCAGAAGGCAATACACAATGTGTGATTAATAAGGATGGCTACTTTGATCTTATTTCTAAACATCCCTCTGTAGATGTATAACTGTGAAATACATATTGATATGTGTCATATCAGCCAGGTTCAGAAGAAATTTGTAACAAATTCAATTGTCTTCATATATTCCCTACCGGTTTTAAAAATATGTACACAGAATATGATGGCTACTCCAAGTTTTAATATTTTAGAAACATCTAAGATACCAATTTGAAGCTTAGAAGTTGCTGACCACAGACCTAATAAATTATAAAGTAGGGGTCTCCCAATTTGAATCATAAAATTATTTGACTCTATTGCCATTCTCAGTGTTTGACTCTAGATAAAAGTACTGGTCAAAAGATCAGCAAGATATGACATTTGAAATGAAATAAGAACAATGAATGATGTTTAAGCACAGAAATCATGTTAAATTTGTAAAGTGATTTAGTGTTTATAAAAAGCTGTCATGGGATCCCTGGGTGGCGCAGCGGTTTAGCGCCTGCCTTTGGCCCAGGGCGCGATCCTGGAGACCCGGGATCGAATCCCACATCGGGCTCCCGGTGCATGGAGCCTGCTTCTCCCTCTGCCTGTGTCTCTGCCTCTCTCTCTCTCTCTCTCTCTGACTATTATAAATAAATAAAAATTAAAAAAAATAAAATAAAAAGCTGTCATACACATTGACTTGATTCTTACACCAACCATACATGGGGAATATTGACTCTACCTTATGGTTTAAGAGATGGAGCTCAGAGACTTGACAGAGATGAAAGCAAGGACTCAATTCTACCTTCTGATGTTCCACTAGCCTCAGATTTGGGGGAACTGCTCTGTTATTGGTTGATTGATTGATTAAAGATGACTGATTTCCTTTTTAGTCAGTTCACTGAGAATGAATTTACTCATTCCTTTGAGAAAAACATGCATCATTGCAGGGTGATGACCTCATTCTGCTTTACCATATTGGAGGCCAAGTCAATTTGAAGGGACAAGAGAGGCTCTAGGGCCAATGATGCGGAAAGTTTACTTTGCTAGCATGTTTAATACAATGAGTCATTAAAAATTCTTTCATCAGTTCCTACCTTTTTTTCTTAGTATGCAATATATAACATGTTTGTTTTCTTCTACCCACTCTATTTCTTGCAAGCTATTCTAAAATCTAACAAAGAGAATAATAACAACAGCAACATGCTAAGCCTCTACTAAGGTTAGGTATGTACCCGACTGATTCTTTGTTAACAGTCTAGGCACTATATTATTTCCTCATTTCACTGATAAGGAAATAGAATCAAGGAAGTTAAAATAAATTGTCTATGATCACACAATGAGTGGGTGAAAAAGTTGGTAGATTGCTTTGAAAGAGGCTAAATGGCCCTGCAGGTTGTGCTCCATTCTAAAGGACAGTCACTCATCAAGCACAAGCACAGTACCACTAATGTCATAGACAAATTCCAGTAACACATAATATTTATGCAGGAAATACATAAAATGAAGGCTACTGAACAGATGAGGAGAAACTTGTTCAAAGATAGGTGATTTTTCTTTTTTTTAATTTAATCATTTCTATACAGATTGATGGTTATTCTATTCTGGGAAATGTTATAGGTGGTAAGAAAGCAAACATACAGCCAACTGTGTGACAAGTTGCATTTTTAAATAAATAAAGAAAAAATATTTTTAAGAAGTCAAGATTATCAGTCA